TTTTTTTCTGCCACTACCAGGGTTCCTTTTTAAAGATAAACATTCATTGTATTTTTTAAGCACATAAGTAACGGTAGACTTTGGAAATTTTAGCTTTTTTGCGATGCCGTTATGGAACATGCTGGGATTTTCCAGCTTTTTGCGCAATATTAACTCGCGATCGATTTCTTCCTTGGTCCTCGTTTCTACACTGATTTTTGTTACTAAAAAGAAATGATGCAGTAAGGTGGAAAATGCTTCCAGCTTTTTAAGTGTCTACCGATTTTTATTTTAATGTTATGATTAACCGAGCTATGCTTGGTTATGTGCGACCAGTTTTTTTCGTGTACATTCTTTACCCACCAGATCCCAATATCACCCTAATGTCAGTAAATTCAACATCGCCAAAATTCAACAAACTTTTGCTAAAAAATTATTTCGATTCGACGCCTTTTTTCGGCGTTTAAAGTTAAAGAAACTTGTTTAATTTGGATAAGCGGTTTGTTTATTATCCGAAAAATGCTCTTATTTCGGAAAAATATTCGCAACAACCCTGGTACACACATATATACTTGTATTGATATTTCACTATGATGATATCAGATTTCAGCGCAAGACTGAACTACATACATTTATATGTATGTGTATGCTCAAAGTCAGACTGTTTTAGTGCAATTCATGTTTTTTTTTTTAAATGTAGTTCGTTTGGTTTCTTACAGAGTTCGTATTTGTCCCGCATATGAAGCAAATCCTCACATTTTACGCTTAAACTTACGTATTGGGCATTTAAAAAATACAAAACTTTCTCATAGCAAATATGTATGCACTTTACCACAATTGTGGTAGATCTACCACATTTTGGGTAATTTTTCACTTCTACCACAACTACCAACAACTACTTCTACCACAACTACCAGATAATGAAATAAAATTATTAGCCTAATTTGAAAAATGTTTTTATTTTTCATAAGAGTTGAATACTCAATTTTCTCCTCGATATGAATTTAAATGTGAAAAAAATATTTT